TGCTCCTGCACTCTGAAGATGCCGGTCACAGGTGCTGGCAAAATGTTAGGAAACAAGACTTCAAGACCATGGCCACACAGCTCGAAAGACCCACACCAGCCATCGTATGCCGGCCGTGAAAGCCTTTGACAATACAACTTTAATAAACTTCATAGAAACTAAGAGATTTTAATAAAGCAGGGAAAATAAATTGCTAGGAGGTCCTTGGTCTTTCAAGGCCAAAAAAAAAAAAAAAGGCTCTTCCTGGCAGGCAAAAAATTCTTCCCCTTCATCTTCTTCATTCCTGCTTTGGGCAGTCAGCTCCATTGATAGGAGATGATTGCCCATAGTTTCCTACTACACCCATAGCTTCCTACAGTGAAACATTTCACTTACTGTAAGGACTTTTAAATTATGCCTTCAGATTCTACTACTTTGATTAATTTTAAAGGCATTTATCATTGTTCCCATCTAACATATGTTCTGCATGTATGTTGAAGTACAGTTTATTTTCAGAAAGCAATGCCATAGATTTGGAGATGACGAGAGTTTGATCCACACTTGAGGAGGGCACCTGTTTGGAGAAGGATGTCATACATTGTTTGGTTTTCTCTTTACATTAACAGAAACTCCTTTTCTTTATGCATGGCATGGTATGCAATATTTGCCAAGTGGTCTTGTCCAGCGCAGCCCTCTGCAGCATATCCATATGTTCCAGAGATCCTCCAGCCCTGGGAAACAGCTTTTGAGAAGTTTAGGTGGAACTGCGATGGGAATGGGGATTTGGAAGGCACCAGATGCCTGTCATATGAATATTGCCATATGCAGGGAAAAGCTTTTTTTGAGAAGTGTAAAATCTCCACTGGAAGTATAATCAATGATTTGTTATTTGCATCAAACATTCATTGTCCAAGATATTCTTTCTTTTGCTTCCTTTTCAGAGCCATATTCTACCCTTTTCACATTTCTTTTGTCATCTTGCTTATAGGACAATTAATTCCAAACAGTGGGGTTTCCTCTTCAACAGAATGGGGTACTTTTTTTTTTTTTCAATCCTTTTTAATTTTTAAACTTTTGTATAAACAACAAAGCCCTAAATTTACAGTGAAATGTCTAACTTGCGTTTCATTATTGAACACATGGAAACCAGCCCTGATTGAAATAAATACAATAAAAGGAAGGAAAGTACCATTTTTAAAGTGTGCTTAGTGATTTCAAATTACAGGATAAATATTCTTTTGAGCAAAGCTGAGTCACTTCTTCTTCCTGCACCTGCAATTTAGAATTGGCTGAATTCCTATTTCATGAGAGAAGAAGAGGTAAGAACTGCAAGTTCTTTGCAGTTTCAGACATAAAGATGTGGAAACTTAAACAGGGGAACTTTCATTAGCTAGTTTGCTTTATTGAAGTTTTGGGACAATTAATATAGTACAAGAGATACGTTTATTTCTTTCTCATTTTACCTTGTCACTTGGTGAAGGAAAATTAGAAACGTTGAAATCAGGTGTGACTTTCTCAGTATTAATACTTATATGTGAAATTGTTCCCATCTGTGTTCAGAACAAATAGTTTATACTAGCTTATAGCAGTTGAATTTGAATATCAGAGAATCAATCTTCTTTATTAGGGGTCTCAAAGTGGTAGCACCTGAGTTATATGCAGCCCTTCAAATAATTTTCGGTGGCCCACAGCAGTATTTTATAGGCATCAAGGATTTTGCCCAGCAAAGCCAGGGTACTGCGTGCCACACAGATGTGTAGGCTGGACCGCAGGAAGCACTCCAAGAAGAGGAACATCTCAGCGGCAGCAGCCTCACAACTCATCCCAGCCTGACCTAGCATGTCTCCCAGCAGCTGTGGGATTTGGTTAGCTGGGCTGTGCATTTGGTCTAAGTAGCACCACTTTCCAGGAACCCTTACTTGCTCTTGAATTTCAGAGTGGGTGCTACTTCTGAAGCCACCTTGGGCCTTCCAGGCAGGGAGATGAGACTGGGTTTCCCTAAGGAAGAGGAGGAGGAATCACTGAGGAGAAGGGCCAATTCTGGTTGTCCCAATGCAAGAATCTTTTTTCCAGATAAGGAGAGAGAAGAAAAGGGAAAGTGAACAAGGAAAAGATTAAAGGAAAGAAAGACCTCGACCTGCTTCTTAACTAGAGAGAAGAAAAACAGGATTTGAATAACTCCTAGTTCAAGGAAGGAGTTCTTGATTGTGTCATCTTAGATACGATCTTGAAAAAGTGCCTAAGTGAAAAGGCTTTGTTTTGCAGCTCAGTTTCACAGTAAAGTTAAAAACAATTATAAATGTATGTTTAATGGCATAATATGATACTTTTCATTTTCTTCATTTTCAACTCATACAAGAGACTTTTGTATCAATGTGCAAAGAAGCTTCAGTGTTGTAACCCTTGGGCTAATGAACTAGTCCTCATGTGGTACTTGTGACATTTTGAATTTGAGACCCCTGTGCTCATGGAAGATTAGCATGTTGCAAGCAGAGTAGTTCATCTTTATTAAATGTTAGAATTTACGTAATGGAACTGAGGGTAAAAGAGATTTTTCACTAGTTCCCTCAAATGGAATATTTCTAGCTGTGTCAAAATAGATGGCTACAAAGGATATGCATGGAGAGCTTTTTTCTTCTGTATAATAACTGTTATTGGTCACTTAGTGAACCATATTATTAATGAAGTCAGAACTGTGAGGAAAATAGTTATGGTAGAAATATGTTATAGGGTTTCAAATATTTTGGGTTATAACATATGTAATTATCTATCCTCTGTAAACTTCACAAAATCTCCTCTATGAACTTTAGAAAATCTATATCCATCCATCCATCTGATAGAGAGCATGCGCGGGTGTGTGTGCATGTGCGTTGAGATGTCTGTGTGCATGTGTGTGTTTCAGCATGTCCTTTAAAAATCCTGTGAATTATGAAGTCATTAGATTGAATAAACTATACTGAAATATATTTGAAAAGAAAGACTCATTCTCAGCCTCGCAATCCTGAAGCTGTATGTAGGAACTATAATTTGATTTTCTTGCCGATTTATGATGTATCCAGTCACGGGTGAACTTTTTATTTTTACTCCCAGCTACAAAAAGATAGAGATCTGCTTTTTTAACTGAACAAATTTACTGGAATATAAAAATTCATGGGGTACAGTTCACTTCATAAAATGGAATGTAGGTCCACTAAAGTTTATGCAATGATAAATGTATTCATCATTAAGATATCGCAAGACTCTGTTGCAACTGCCAGCCTAGCCACTCTTTGTTCTAGAACTCTAATATTGTGTGCTGTGTTTACGTAGGCTTTCATCTGTATCTTGCTCAAATCCTGCATGCTAATTGTTGCATTAACTAGAGTACAACGTATTCCAAGGAAGATTTTAAATCTTCAGCGAACTCTGGCAGTCCAAGGGACTTTGCAGCCTTGAGAACAAAGGAATTGTGGAACTCCCTGAGTTTGACCTGCCAAACTCCCCAAGCAAAAAGAACTGTATCTCTTTTTCTTCATTGCCCCACCCACCACTTTATTTTTGTTTTAATCTTTCCAGCTTCTCATAAGGCCCAAAGCTTTCTCCCCATGAGACACAGGCTTCTGAAATGCGAACATCATCTGTTTCTGTTCAAATATTGGACTTCTAAATCATGTGCTAATGGCTAGTTATTGTAGATTTTTAGTTATTACTTATGTGGTAGCAATGGAGGTGAATATTACTTATGTATAACTTTGATCATTAATCTTTCCATCATTCAAACCATGTTCCTTATTGTAATGGTAATTTAAATAGTACATAATTTGAAATATTTGAATAATTTGTACATAATACATAGTACATAATTTGAAACAAATATTTGTTCTTTGTAATGTATCAGTGCTGTGTTAGGTTGGCTTCAACTGTGTTCTTAGCTACTGTTCAACTCTTTCTCCTTGTGTAGTTCCTTTTGTGTCTCCCAAATATGCTCTGGATAATGTAACCCTTATGGATGATCCAGGGATTAAGAGAGAGAGGAAGCTTAGGTTCCATGGATGGAAACCAGTTCCTGCCTATAATCCAATAGCCAAAGCACACAGAGTACAAAATTTCAGTGCAGTGCTTCAGTAGTACCACTCAGTTTTAAACATACAGTTTTAGTGCCAAATATATTAGGTAACAGTGAATCACTATGGTTGTTTTTTAACCATTCTTGTCTATATTTTTTGTAGGTGGGAAGGACAGAAGAAGTGGCCTCATTCTGACAATTCCATTATGCCTTGAACAAACAAATATGGACGAATTGAGTGTCACCTTGGACTATCTGTTAAGTATTCCAAGGTGATTTTTTTAAAAGACCTATTTAATAAATCAGTAATGCTTTTAGATTTATATTCATTCCTATGATGTATATACACCTAAATAGACTTGAACTTAAATTACTTATTTGAAACAAACAGAACTTTTTCTAGGCAAGTAGTCACTAGTCACACTTTCGTTCATACTTGTATCTCTAAATTGTCCAGTCATTATATCATACTTTAAATTCAAAATTAATTAACTTATTTTCTCTTTCCTTATCTCATTCCCACTCATCCATTTACATCACCTAATAGAATAATTTCTTCTTCTAGAATGCATTCGTTCAGATTGTTCCACAATTTTTCCCAAAGCTCCAGTCCAGTTCTTTCATTGTGACCGTTTACAGCAAGTTAACATGTAACTGTCACCAGTGTATGAAATCCTACTTTCATATACAGCCTCAACAATCTAGATGACACTGATTCGGACTTGTTAATTAAACCTACACCTTAGCTTCCATGTATTTATCAACTCCTATCCACAAGATCAGATCACTTTCATTCATATGCTTATACTCCATTCCTTTTCTTTTAGTTTCACAAATACACAATATATTATTTTTCTTGCATACATTATTAGATGTACTCATAGATACTTCTGTCCACTGCCCATCATGTCTTTAGTCAATCAAGGCTTTCATGTAACATTTTTAATAAATATATAAGAAAAGGAAAAGAGTAGACAAGGTTTTCAACCTTTGTTGGGCCTGTGCCACATGCAGCATTCTTGCTAATGGTAGGAACAGTACCAGTCAGTATAGGTATGATTTAGGTAGTTTTATGTAAATTGCCACAAGCATAAAGAAATCCCATTTTCTCCCCAAGGGTGTTAAAACTGTGCTGTGCAGGCTGGGATATCTAAAAAATATTTTGCAAGTGAACTTAGTATTACCCATGTCCCAGCAACTAGGAGGTACATTCAGTAATATTGTTAATTCTGTAGATGCTTAATTAGTTTTCAGAAACAACAGTGTCAGCATAATATTTTAAGCAATACAGGGAGGAAATGTGAAATATGAATCGAGTGTCCATTCTTTCTTCCAGACACACATACAGTTATTAACAGACAGATTTCTGTACATTATATTTTTTAAATAGGTGATGCACACATGGCAGTCAGCTTCTATTTACACAGATGATATCTTCCAGCTTGCACCTAACCAGTTACATGCCCCAGCAACATCATTTTTTCTGCTGTGAGGTTGCCTTCATCTTATTCCCAGCCCATTAATGAGAGAACTTCAGAACTTCAGAACTTCCATAGTTAGCTGTCCTTCAGCCATCTCTATCTCAAGGCAATACAGTTTTAATACAACTGGGGATAACTCTAACGTTTGTTCTTCATCAGAAATTAATAGATGTTCTGGAAAGGCCAAAGCAGGTGAAAAAGTGGATTTTGGAATAAGTGACTTTTCCCTTAGAAAATTCTTACACTATTGTTTGTGAAGGCATATTTGAAAAACACACACCTGGAAAATCTAGTTTGGCATAGGAAAGTAATAAATGAGGTGGAATGTATCAAATGTTTTTAAAGCAGCAGCTTAAATATATCAGATAATAAAATACATCGCCCATATATGTCTGTATATATATATTTATTTATTTTTTGCAGTGAAAAGTGTAAAGCCAGAGGATTTACTGTTATAGTGGATGGTAGAAAATCTCAGTGGCATGTCGTAAAGACTGTGGTGTTAATGCTACAGGTAAGAATTGCTTTATGAATCTCAGCAAAGAATTCAGTTTTTCTGAAGTTATTCAACATCTCGCAGGGTTCCCACATAATGATAAACCATAATGTGGTTTGATTTTGACTTAAGATAAACTGATTCATTACATTATTTTCAATAAACCACAGTTAGAAACTAGGTTTATTTATATATTCTCAGCTGCTTTAAACATAATTTGCCTTTATATATGTGTTGTAAATGTAGATTATATGCTAGATTGCAGGCTACAATCCATGAGGAACATGCAGTCTACATCTATGAAGAAGAGATGCTCTTCATCACATATACAGAGAATCAGATACCCCAGCTGCTCTCTGGAAATAGAGGAAAAGTTTGGTCCTTTTAAAAGTAGGGGCAGAACCCAAGGAAAAGTTTTCACTGATGGTGGGATAAACACTGGATGCATTGTTTCCTACAACCTCTGGTTCAAGTTTGGAATTTCCAAGGACCTAGGATGTTCCTGTAATTGAAGAACTTCTGCTTCAGAAATTCAGTTTCTGTGGAAATAGATAAAATACATTAGCCATGAATTGTGCTAGTTTTAATTTTGGTTTCTGATTTGGTTTCTGATTCTGTTAAGTTTAGTATCATTTTCTTCACTTTTCTGTCCAAGGTAGGAAACAGAGTATACTGTAAGCTTTATTTCATCCTTGCCTCAAGCTGTACATGAAGGTATTTTAGTTCTTTCAAATCTCTTTAATGCATAATAGTATTTGGAATGCTGTGAATAATATTTTCACAGTATCTTTTCAGAGATTTTGAGAGATTTGTCGCAGACCACCACTAACTTGTGGTCTGCCCAGAGCACCATATTTTTATTGCCCCCTGCCACCATTTTAACCAAACTGCTGTTTTTCCATAATATAATATAATTTCTCTGTAATGCTTCCTTTACGTTATTGAATGTATGCATTTTGATATTTCTAGTCAAGAAGGGGTTTTACATTTGTGTTTTCCTTAATGAAGTTTCATTTTATCCATCTCTTGTGAGATTAATCTAGTTCCCAAGAAAGGGCTGCATCCTGTAGAGATACATGGTGGCAGCAGGAACTATTAAACTGCTACCCCAAAACAGAAAGCAGAAGCAGATTGTACAAATTCAGAGGGCTTCTGGTTTGAGGTCCCAGTCTGGTTATATTTTCTGGTTTATATTTACATGTTCACCATTTCTTATGGGTTCTGGAAGAAGAAATGGAAAATGAATTAACCAATTAAGAAATGATTACTTTGCTTGTCTGTAAAATTAACTCTGGATTATTCCTAGGTTGTTGAACAAACTGTAATTAAAACAATTCTTAGGTGAATATTAAGGATAAATCATGGCGTTTTCCCAGAAGGGGAAATAAGCCATAGTCAGTGTCATGTTTATAAAATGTAAGAGTTTTATGAAATGTAGTAAGTATAACAGGAACCCATGGTCTATATAATATGAGAACTGATTTTGTCATGAAGCTATATGGATTCATTTCTATTTTTTTTTTCCATCCTGAAGTCTTAGTTGATGCAACCTTTCTGAGACTACATTAAGTCAGAATGCAGAGAGCTAGGTGATTCCTAACTTTCTTTCAAATTGACTTTGTCTGCACAGATAGCCTTTTTTAATAGGCAAAACTTTCATGGGCCCCCAGTACACCTCATTTTACATTCTGGCCTGCAAAAAGTATCCTATAGTTTATGTAGGATTTTAAAAATTCTCATATACTTTTCTCCAAAGGTATAACATTCTTTGTGTTTTTGTCTGTTGCTTTTGTAGATTATCCATTTCAGGACTCAATTTTTAGTTACATTTTGCATTTTTTCATAATATGGTTGTTATGTTTTTCATACTTTTGAAAAAGGATGGGAAATGGATCCTACAAATAAGTAGAAATAAAAGCAGACCCATAGGAGAAAAAGAACCTTAGGAAGAAGTAGGCAGAAGGTGAAGTTCTATCAGAATTTTATTAGCCATTTTTTAAATTCTTTATTCAGCTTTATTCAAGTGACTTTTCTTGGCTTTATGAAAATCTTTAACAGATGTTGGCTTAATGAAGTTTGACATTTTGATCCCAGACCATTTTTATTAACTGTCAAGATACAATGCTTTCCTCTTTTTTTAAACTTTGTTTGAATGCACTCTTACAGGATGTATGTTGTCACAGTCATTAAATAATAAGTGATTGTTCCTACCATCTGCCTGTTTAATGTTATGTATGTGTTCACTTGGAGACAAAACTGAGAAGTAACTTCACAGGAAGAGGAAACAGTTGTGAGCCATGACCTCTTATTGGTGAATAGAAATGGTTCTGTTTCTTTTAAGTTCATAGGATTGCACTATTAATATACAGTATCTCTCAAAATTGCTTAAAATTGTTTTGAGGATGGTTCCAACTTAATAGTATTAGTTTCTTTCATGTGTCCATGGTATTTATTTTCTTCACTGGGATAGTCCATACATTCTGAATTTCTTTGTTACAAACATTTTATGTTATATGAGGAGGAACGGCAAGGCCATTATGATGTTTTGTAGTCAGTAAGAAATTTAATTGTGTATTTTTCATTTTTTTAGAATGTTGTTCCAGCTGAAGTATCCCTTGTTTGTGTAGTAAAACCAGATGAATTCTGGGATAAAAAGGTTACACATTTTTGCTTTTGGAAAGAGAAAGATAGACTTGGCTTTGAGGTATGTGTATTTATTTTTTTGTGGCTTAAGTATTGTACCAGTAGAAGAGAATATATAAAGCTCAGGGTCAAACTGTGTATTCTGGCTTAAGTATTGTACTTCAGGTGTAACTGCATGCATCTAGAAAGAGATACAGTTCCTAATGCATGCAAATCTGGAAAAGGGTTACTAAATGATTCTCTGAGTATTACAACATAAATGTTTCATAACACTAACTTTACTGCACTGTGATGTATTGCTGAATAATTTGTATTAGTCTGATCCCTTGTTTCTGTGGAAATTTTGGCTTCTTACCATTGAAATTTCTTAGTCGTAGCTGTGACTTCTATTTGAAATCAGTCCCTTAAAATACTTTTGCCATGAAAGTAATTACCAGTTTCTTTTATTAATAATGCCTTGTGTACCCAGACCCTTCTAAGATTAATTCTTCATTCATTTTTACAGTTCATGGTAGGTGTGTTAATAATTCTTCCAATATAGGGCATGCTTATTCTGCTTTGCTTGCCTCTGACTCTTCTGTTTGTCAATACGCTCTTCTTGCTTTGAGTGCATTGCAGGAGAGCTGGCAAGGGAATCCCATGGCCCACAGGCCTGATCTAGCCATGAGTTCTCACAGTCCAGGCTGGCTCGGCTTAAAATATGGCCCCTTCCCCCCTCTAAAATTCCATCTTTTAGGGCACCAGAGGCAGAACTTGGTGAAAGTTCTGTATGTGGAGCAGAGAGAAACAAGGAGCCCTCACACTTCAAAATCCATCTTTGAAAGTGTTCTGTCGAGGGTCATCCAGTACCATCTGGGCCCTTGTTTTCCTTGTGGCAAGCTTCCATAGTTTGAACTGTATCCCTGATAAAAATTCTCCCCATATGACTGATTCATATCCTTTCTGTGACATGTCATTGCTTTCTGTCCAAACAAATTAGCCGAAGGCCTAGAGAAAAAACTACTAATGTACTAATGAGGCTGAGATAATATCCATATTCTATCATTTTCAGAAATTTGGACAGTTTTTATTATTTGACTCAAAGGACTGATTTTCTATCAGTAATTAAATTATAAAATGTATTTAATTTCATTCAGTATAGAGACATTTAATTAAGAATGTGATGGTAGCCATGTGGATAATTTGTTATAACTAAAACTAAGTTATGAACATAAAAGCAAAATGATTGCAGTGAAATTCAGGCGTGTTGATTTTAATGACTCAGTTACACTGTTGTCAGTTGACAGTAATACAGAAAATTTGAAAACATTGTTTTAAAACTAACTATATATCATAAACATTATGTCTGATAATGGTGTGTTTAGACTAGCAAGGCTTTAAGAACTGGCAGCTCCCCACCACCACCATTAAGTGCTGTTACCATTTTTAGATATTATGACACAACTGCGCTTAGGTATGACTGGTGAGATTTTTTTCCTACAAACTCTTTAGATATCCTATTCATTTTAACCATCCATCTTGTTTTCCCAGTTCCAAAACTCTATTGCTGGAGATGAAAGAATGCCTGATTGGTATTGCAGGAGAAGTCCTTAATATGCTCTCTGGACAGGATCTCGTAGCATATTTCCAATCCATTACATAGTATTTTTCTTTTTTAATACAACATGGAAACCACCATTCTATAAATAAACATATAGCAACATTTTTTTTCATAATAAAATTTGAAAATACTTATTTTTTACGTCTTAAAAACACATATTTTCTCTTGTGAATCCTAAGATATTTATATAATGATTCAAATATCATACAGCAAATTATTTGTTCTTGTATTTATTTATGATTTCGTTTTTAAAAATGGGTAAATATAAAAGAGAATGTGATAAACTCAGATATATGAAAATGGCTTGCTGTGGCTCAGTTTAAGTTATGTGTTCAAAAATCTTGTCTCGAAGTAGTTAAAAGTTCAAGGAAAAGAAATGGAAATGGAAATTTTCTGTCTCGCTGTTCTTGGTGTTCTATAAGAAGCTAAAGAAAAATGAAGTTTTCATTAACTTTTTGAATTTAGGGGCTTTTTTTTCCCTTGTAGTTTTTGGTTCAAAATTATATGCATGTTATTTATTTGCCATTTAAAAAAAAAACAAATCTGACTTTAGGTATAACTGGGTCAGATTATCCCTTTGAAAAACAGATATTACAAATGCAAAAGATCTCATTTAGGCTCAATTACATGCTAGCATAAGTTTCAACAAATTAGCTGGAGTCCTGAAAATTTTAAAGTATATCATAAGATGTAATAAATTAATATTTTAATGGGTACAGGGAAGAAGAAAAGACAAGATACCTATCAATACCTGTCCACTGATTGAGTGAAATTCTGAAACATAATGGTATTTCATTGGTGAAAGCCAGTGGTGACTGTGGTTTTGGTAGTGCAAAGCAGTTGTGCTTAACTTTCATAGATGCTGCTTCATGATTAGGACCTTTCTGGAATTGTATGTCACACTAGGTGGACTTGGTTGGTGAATATCCGGTACATTGTACATCACTGTGCAATTCCCCTTTCTTCTAGCATGAAGCCCTTCCATAATTTTTACACTGACACTTCCAGACAGTGAGAGTTTCCATTGTCCAAGTTTTCCAGTTTCACATTTCAAAGGAACAGGGCTTGAGTGGACTCTTCTCACTATTAAAGTTATCAGGATACTATAGACACCTTTGTGGTGGAAAGTTAGTGAGCAGAGATGTCTCAGTCCAGCAGTACCTGTAATTGAGTGGTCCATGAGATCAAAGCAAAAACCAGAACTCCTAAAAGGATACTCACTTTTTAGGGAATTTCTTGTTTGCAAAAACTACCTTGTGAATGGAAAAAGAAGTTGTAGCCTTGCACAATCACACATACAGTGGGGGGAGCAATCAGTTTGTTCTGCAAGCCAATCTGAGTCCGTGTTTAGAAGTGCCCTTTTACAGATGCAGTAAGTAGCAGATACATAAGTACATGGACGTATTAGCATCTACATGCTATGTTGGAACACATTCTCTTGACTCGAACAAAAAATGAGTTCAGTTCCTGATAACACAGTAGACTTTGGTTAGCAGTGGAAAGAAATAATTCACTCCATTTTCAAGGTGCCAAGTGAAAAATCAGCTAGAAAACAATGAACTAATAGTAATTTTTAAAAATCTAAGGATATGTCATTATTTTAAGTATTTTAAGTTGTCATCATTCTTACAAATGATCCATCTATGAACACTGGAATTTTATGGAAAAATTCATTATGTTGTTTGTGTCTTAAAATGTCAGTTTGAAAGGATGACATTTTGAATGCCTGTGGATTGAACTGGGAAGATTAAAAAGAGATAAACATTTAAAAGCTATGGGGAAGAAATTAAATTAATTGAATTTGCAGTCTTAGGATGACTTGTTACACTACCCAGCAAAGTAGAAACCAAAACAGCAATACTTTTTGTGTTAGTGGGCATGGCATATGATTGTGGTCCATGGGGAGGATTTGCAGATTCCTTCCATATGGTTAAAATACAGTTGTATTGAGGTTAAAAGCGGTTGTTCCATCTTTGTGGCTCAGGATTTCTTTCATTAATGTGGAAGAAAGCCACATTCCAGCAACTTTCAGCACTTCTGGAGAGGTGCAAACTTTTGTGCTTATTTTACCAAGTATATGCTTCAGCTTACTCTAAATACCAAAACTTCTAGTTTGGTATAAGGTAAGGTGTTAATAGTATAATAGAAGTAAGAAATTGAGTTGCATTAATTGGGGTGAAAATTTTAATACTTGTTTCAAGTGATGAGATTTTAAGACTGTTTCTTTAAAAGATTAGTTCATTAATGCATTTTAAAGTATACCTACTTTAAAGTGTAATAGCTAAAAGCCTATTATACTTTAATTTTACTATGAAAAAATTATGGTTTTTAGTTAAAAGTATAATACAATATTTAATTTTCTAACCCAAAGTTCTAAGTTGCTAATTTCCCATTTAATTGCTCATATAGGTTATTTTGGTATCTGCCAACAAACTTACTCGATACATAGAACCATGTCAGCTAACAGAAGATTTTGGAGGGACTCTTACCTATGATCATATGGATTGGCTGAACAAAAGACTGGTTAGTTTCTTGGCAAATGTTTTTACTCTTTCAATATAATGTTAAAGAAATATAACAGGTGCCTAGATACAGTAATGTTTGGCGTTCCCTAAAGGTAAAAAAGCCCACATGTTTTATTTCCATGAGGAGTTGACAGCGCAGGATTTGCAGCTGCTATCATTGGTACTTGCTTGTCCTTTTATTATACACGCTTTTCAAAGTAGAGTCTCAGGATTAGAGAGTTCTGATTTGGGTTGATTGTAATGGTTGTGAATGCCTCCTGACATAACATTATGTTTAAGGATAGTATTTAGTTTTTTGCAGTATACCAAACCATGCCTGAGAAGAACGTAAAATTGTTTACAGTCCTCAATCTTTTATTGATGTTATATATTCTAATAAGGAAAACTAAATAACATGCAGGTGAAATACTGTTAGTTAGTCATTGCAGTTCATGCTGAATTACATGAAAATAAAGATTAAGTATCTTAAAGCAAATATTGGTTGATGATAGTGGAATATTAACATTATTCTTACTTGTTAATTCTTGTCATTTGAATGTTGCCTTTTAATTGGTTATTTCAGTGCAGATATATAAAAATATTAAGTCTGCTGAAAAATTCCTGTTAGTGCCACTATGACGAGTATCAGTTTGGATGTGTTACTTTTACATTCCATTCCGTTGACCCACATAAGTGCACATATCCTTGATGCTGATCTTTACCCTTCGGAGAAAAAACAGCATTATGATTAATGTTGAATGAGGTGTTCTTAGAATGCCTTCAACAACATTGCGGCAGCCATCAAAACATAGTGGCTAATTTTGCAAGGCAGACTGACACTGATTTTTAAAAGCTTGTGTTTAGTCATCAAAGTTTATAATCCAAAGCCCTGCTTAAATGGACTAAAGTTGGTGATGTCCTTCGCCTAGTTCTGCTTTAAATGATTATGACTGAGCATTTAACCTAAGTTTTGGGTGTCTTTGTCAGGTAATTACAGATGAGGAAAGAATTATTGGGAGATGCGAAAAAGGGACACATTTCTCAGATATGGGCAGTAGCTGTTCATGCATAACTTTAAGACCCATCCCCGATGCATTACTTGACTTTAGAATTTGTTCACAGTGGAACACTAAGAGCACTCCTGTATACTGCAAAGCTTCAGAAATTAAATGGTAAAATTCAACCTCTGAAGTGCCAACTCACTATTTTATATAGGCATTCGAGAAGTTTACAAAAGAGTCTACGTCCTTACTTGATGAGCTTGCATTAATCAACAGCGGAAGTGACAAGGGGAACCAACAGGAGAAAGAGAGGTAATACCTTTTCTTGCTGTTATTAATTGGTCAGTAGCTACTTCCTGTGGTCTTTAGACTATAGCTTGCAGAGGCCATTGCAATCTTTTAAACAACCCTACTGCAGGAGAAGGTTAAGCGTGGTGTTTCTAGCTAGGTTGCTGTGGTCTTTCCCCCCCCCCCCCCCCCCCCC